TGAGCTACAGGAGAGAAAGGGAATAAACTACCGTGCGGTCACAAAGTGACTCCAGCCGCAATAATTTACTCCCACTGCCGCTCTCGCCCAGGGGCAAAACTTCCTCCAAGACCACAAGGTAAAGTTATTTCTACACGATTACATTTTGAGGAAGCATCCGTATCACCCACCTGTCTCAGGCCAATTTTCTTGCTGTCCCACATCTGCTTGAAGTTCCAGAAGAAAGGCTGATCGCACTTCTGGCAGGAGTCACTGTCCAACCATTCAGGGGTCTTGTCAAATAAAGCACACAACGGGTCACAGTGAGAAGCAGCCCAGACAGTGGAACCAGTGTCACTGCCGAAACTTACATAATCAAGATGTGTTTCTAAGAAACAGAGGTGTGATTTCTCGATCATTTTGAAAATATTTCCTAAATGCCTATGATGCTTCAGGTCCTGGGGATGTAGTGGTGAAGAAAAAGAATCTCTACCATCATGGAGCTTGTAATTTATCAGGGAAGACTTAATATGAAAATCTTATTAATAATAGTTATTATCTGAATCAGTGTAAGGATCAGAGGCCTGAGAAGGAGCAGCACAGAGTGCTGTGAGAGTGGGATGACCTAGGCTGGGGTTCAGGACTTTGACAAATGATAACAAGCTGAGACCTGGGGATGCATGGCAGGAGACCAGGCACAGTGGGCTGAGAGAGGGGCAGGATGGCTGGAGCGCATGGGTGTGTGTAAGCGGGGAGCAGGGGAGGGAAAAGGGGGGGTAAAGGGGGGGAGGGAGAGGGGTGGGCAGGGTATGAAGGGCTGAGGCTGGAGGGGATGCAGGGGCCACACCACAGACAGCTTATGTTGAGGATTTAGGATGTTATCTCATACGTCCTGATCATATGCAATTATATTTGCTCTGATTGCGTACAGTTACAAACACCTGCCTATTACACATGCACGCAGCTACCCGCATTGGAGGGATAGAACCTGACCACAGCGGCGGGTCCTCAGGGAAGCTACTGGTCCTCTGTCTTGGCAGGGGCCGGCAGGGTGTGAGGCTCTGCTCCTTGCCTCATGGGTCATGTAATATCCTGGCTTTGTTCACTATTCCCCAACCCCATGGCGAGTACTCTAAACTATGTCAAACAGGTTTAAAGGATGTGTTAAGCTTAAAGCTATTCTTTATCAAATCTTTATAGATCCTGCATAGGGTGACGCGACATTTGCTTCTAGAGTTCTATGCTCTACTCTGTAAATTCATCCTCTGGCAGATAGACTGGTCTCTTTCCATACATCACCTAACCCAAGGAATTGGGGAAAATACACCCAACCCCAGTGTTTCCCAAAAGTGACTTCCAGGACCTGCTGATTTGACTGACAGGACACTTACTGTAAAAGAGGCCTGAGATCAAACAAGTTTGAGAAACAACGGCCTCCCCTCTCCGGGCTTCACAACAGACAGCAGCACAGTAAAGGCTCAGGAAGGATTTTGTTTATGTAATCCTTTTCTGAGGAAGAGCTGTTATAGAACAGACTCAGGGACTTAGCCTATTCCCGTACCTTTAAGCAGAAATGAACCTAAAGCTACCTATTTTCTCAGGAAAAAAAAAAAAAAAAAAAAGAGTAAAAAGGGGACACTTTAAGAGCTCTAATTCTTAGTCTATTTATTTTATTAAAACTGAAGAAAAGAAGGAAGCCTTTCACTTACTTGGTAATTTTCATGCCCTAATTCGTTTAAAGACAGATTTAATAAAATAATCCAAAGTTTTTTAGCTGAAGACAACATTTTACCCCTAAAAGACTTATCTATGTTGTGATTTTTCAGTACACTTATGATGCAGGAAAATCAGGAAGATTTACAAAAAACTTACACACACACACACACACACACACACACACACACACATACACCTTGCTACACCTTTTACAAGGAAGCGTGCTGGTTTAGGACACGTATGAAATACATAAGTGGGTGGCTATGAGGAGGGAACTGACAGTAGGGCTCTGAAAAGGGGGGGAAAATCAGCATGTGTAGTACGATTCCATTTTTTTGTCCAAAAAACAATCTGACATGTATCTGCAGAGAAAAATGTAAGGAGGGATGTTTGCCAACATGTGAAGGGCAGTATTTCTGGGTGGTGGTATCATGAATAATTGACATTCTCTTTGTAAGGGAGTACTCAGTCTAACTTTTCTACAAAAAACCTGTATTATATATTATACTTAAAAAAATAATAAAATTGTGAGAAATTGCGTTTCATTAACTGTACAAACACACGTTCAACCTATGGGATGTCTACCTGATCTGTGTTCAGCCACCTGAGGTCTCTCCCTGCCGGCCCACCCCCCGGCTGCCATCCCCTCCTCTCTGCCCCTGCGCTCTGCGCATGACCACTTTGCCCGCTCTTTGCTCTTGGTGCTTCTTGTTCTGGTCAGAGTGCACTCAGGCCCGTCAAGCTCTTAGCACTCTCTCCTGCCACAAACCCTTCACTGAGAACATCAGCCGACGATGACAATCCTCCGCCCGGATGCTCTAACTCACACCAACTGTGATTGAATGATTTATACCATCGAATAATTCTCTGAAGTTTTCTCCCCTATGTCTTTTCTTCCAGAAAGGCCACCTGCCCTTCAGGGCAGGGACAGTTTCCTTACACCTCAGGCCTCCTGAGCTGAGTGCCGCATGGCACTTGCCACGCCTAGGAAGCAGCTCCACAGATACACCTCAGGGGATGTATGTTTATAAAATGGGACACGTGCAAAAAGTGGATGGAACCACCACTGCTCATTTAGAGCTTTAAATCGCTCAAGAAGATTTAAGATAGTCAACAAGTACCGAGCGCCCATATATTTTCATGTCAAAAGGCATAACTGAAGCAAGATGGCTCGGAGGACTGCCCACCAACCACCTGGTTCCGTCTCTGGAACACCACATCGTTATCCTCCTTTGGGCCTCTATCAAGGAGGGAGGCTGTGTGCACAGAGGGAAGAGAGCCCAGCGGTTCCCCTCCCCAAGTCTGGCCAGTCAGGCCTGGGAAGAAGCCAGGACAGACCAGGTGTGACTGTCCGTCACCCAAAACAGGCCACCATGCAGAATAACGAGTCACATGGGGGCCTAGCTAGCACGGCTAGCACACACTGTGCCGACATCCCTGACTTTACGCCCACGGGGCCAAGTGGTACTTTCAAAAGCAACAGTCCACAATTCCCTACTTCCTGATGGCAAGGATCATTTTAATTAGTTACTAATAGAACTCCTGTGGATTTATGGTTTGAGCAAATCAAGCTTCAGTCTCCTTAAGCATTTAATTACTGGTATTTGAAAGGCACTGCATTATGGGTAATAGCAACTACTCCCTTGAAATGAGACTGCAGTGAGGGTATGGAAAGAAGTTGGGAAATCGCTTTTGTCTAATTTTTCAAGTGTTGCTTTTCTAATTCTCGCATCCTGCAAGGAAATAAATTAGAAGAATACACACTGTCAAAGGGAAAGTTTACCCAGCATAATTCTAGGGAAATGAGAAAATGGTTAACTTCAAAGTACCTGTCAAAGGGGATATTCAGTAAGCAAATCAGTTGTTAAGATGCTCAAAGATGAAAAAGAAAATTCACTGAAAAAAGAATGTTATGATAAAACTTAGATATATGCCTAAAAATGACAACGTATATATTTATAACCGGAGAACTGCTTAGAATATGACTCGCAAACACAAAAAAATTATTCCTAATATTTCTATTAATACCAAACTAAGGATCCTTCATCAAATACCATTTCTCACACACTAGCCACCACTTACCCCAATAACATAAAGTACCACGCTTTTTGTTTTCGTAGGGCACTTTATAGCAAACGGCTACTCACCTGAAAATAGCCGCTTCCTCTTTCTCACCTGAACTGCTGTTGTAATGGTACAACAGATTTAAAGTCTAACCAGATTAGTCTCAGTTGAAATTCTTACGAAATCTCCATTACGTTAAGTGTTACGTGCCAATTTATGAGGGGTTAAAAAAGAAAAAGGAAGCTCCTTTCATACCAGAATTTTTAAATTTTCTGACACAACATGTTTTATTTCATGGTTTACTCATAAAAGAAAGAAGTGAGTAGGAGGGGAGGCTGAAGCTTTTTTCAGCAGGGTAGGAGCTGCAGAGCCCAGCCCGGTGGCTGCGGAGGCGGGTGGCCCGAGGCTGCTGTGACACCTACCTCCTGCCTCTCCACATCCATGTTCCAGACGACAATCCCACCGTCACCACCACAGGAGATGAGCTGCCGCGTGTGCTGTGCATAGGACAGGGCCTGGACTCTGTCACTGCGAAAGAAGCAAGAGTTAGTGACAGTTCCCAAGAGCAGAGAGAGCCCTGAGGGAAGGAAGCCCAGCGGTTGGTCACATGCACACTCACCCCTGAGCCCCACCCAAGAGCAGATCTTGGAAACTGGATGGAATTGTCAACATGCTAACATTGGGAGAGTACTCAAGATTTTCAACACTTAAAATAAGTCCAAATGCTTGTTTAATAATTAGCAAGGTTGAACATCTTTTTTTTTTTTTGCAGTACGTGGGCCTCTCACTGTTGTGGCCTCTCCCGTTGCGGAGCACAGACTCCAGACGTGCAGGCCCAGCGGCCATGGCTCACGGGCCCAGCCGCTCTGCAGCATGTGGGATCTTCCCAGACCGGGGCACGAACCCGTGTCCCCTGCATCGGCAGGCGGACTCTCAACCACTGCGCCACCAGGGAAGCCCTTGAACATCTTTTGATGTGCCTGTTGGCCATCTGTATGTCTTCTCTGGAGGTATGTCTATTTAGGTCTTCTGCCATATATTTTTTAAATTTATTTTTGGCTGCGTTCGGTCTTCGTTGCTGTGTGCAGACTTTCTCTACTTGCAGCGAGCGGGGGCTACTCTTCGTTACAGTGCGCGGGCTTCTCATTGCAGTGGCTTCTCTTGTGGAGCACGGGCTCTAGGCACGCAGGCTTCAGTAGTTGTGGCACGCGGGATCAGTAGTTGTGGCGCACGGGCTTAGTTGCTCCATGGCATGTGGGATTTCCCCGGACCAGGGCTTGAACCCGTGTCCCCTGTACTGGCAGGCAGATTCTTAACCACTGTGCCACCAGGGAAGTTCCTTTCTGCCATTTTTTGATTGAGTTGTTTGGTTTTTTGATATTGAGATGTATGAGGTGTTTGTATATTTTGGAAATTAAGCCCTTGTTGACTGCATCATTTGCAAATATTTTCTCCCATTCCATAGGTTGTCCTTCCGTTCTGTTTATGGTGTCCTTTGCTGTGCAAAAGATTATACGTTTAATTAGGTCTACTTGTTTACTTTTGTTTTTATTTCTTTTGCTTTGGGAGACTGATCTAGGAAAATATTGCTATGATTTATGTCCAAAGGGGAAAGTGGGGGAGAGGTAAATTAGGGGTATGGGATTAACAGATACACACCACTATATATAAAATAAACAACAAGGACGTACTGTATAGCACAGGGAACTATATTCAACATCTGGTAATAACCTATAATGGAAAAGAATCTGAAAAAGAATAGGTATATACATAACTGGATCACTTTGCTGTCCACCTGAAACCAACACAACATTGTAAATCAACTATAGCTCAAATTTAAAAAATGCTCATGTAAGATGCTAAGGCCCCAAGAAGAGGTAGTCTTTGTCAGTTACCAACACTTAAGGAAAAAAGCTGTTGTACTGGTTCCTTAAATGGTCAATTAAGTAAAATCTGTGCCATCTGTTCACGTTATATTTGTAACGTCATCCAACGAAATGCCCGCTGGGCATACCTGACGGAGCCAGGTAACCTGTACTGCCCGAGACGGCTCCCAGGGTGAATCCAACACAGCAACAGACTTGAGTTTCACTGATTCTCTGTCTCTCTAGTTTTCATGCCCTCTTTACTGATTTTGTGTTTTATTTTTCTTTCTAGTTCATACATGGCTGACAGTTTATTCCCCCTTGGTGGGGAATTCAGTTTCAGGGTCTGACAGTTTGATCACCAACAAAAGATGATAGAGACCTATGTTCCCGTGGCAAAGAGAGAACAAGGAATCTGGTTTCTTGGTTGTTTTTGCTTGAATATTTTTCTATTTTGAGCTCAAATTCATTAAGAATTCTGTGGCCACTGGGAAGGAGAATAACTCTGTGAAATCTCGACTGGTGATTTTTTTGTGTGCTTTTGTGTTTACTTTTCACTTACGGCTGCAGTTGTAGGACTGAAGCCATTAAGCTCTGTGCGTCCGTGTCTGCAATTCAGAAGGGCCTTTTCCTCTTGTGTATGGAATGCTTTCCTGTTTCCGGAGGGTACCAATAAATTAGATTATGGCATATTTTATATTATAAGCACTTGCTTATAAAGATAAGCAAGCGCTTATATAGATTAAATATTCCTAAACTTCACAGAAAATAAGGAAACTGAACCTCTAAAACTTTAAATTTACTAGACTTAAAAATTATTCCACAGAAAATACACCCTAACTCAGTGATATTTTAAGAATCCAAGTTCACAAAATTAGGGTAACTTTTTGGCAAATAAGACTAGCGTGATGAGTTTTAAAACACAGGTATGTCTTTTTCTGGATTAATCAGTGTTAAATATAATGCAAATGTACATTTTGTTTTACTTGGGTTGATTTCTCCTAAATTTATATAGGATAACTAGTCAAATAAGCTAATATTATGCCTATATAATGTTTAAGATTTTGAAAAATAAGTTTGTGTTCAATTAATTATTCTGATAAACTTTTTATATATACAGCAATTATGTTTTATAGCATATCAACTTAAAGGTCATTCCCAAGATCTTTAGGTAACTTACAATGGACTAATAGTAACTTGAGCTAATTGATGGTCATTGGATGCCTACCTAGATAATTTCTAAGTAACTGAAACTTCGATTACAAAGCATAATAAGCATATATGATTATATATGTTTGCCTATTTTTGTGTGCTGTAGAGAGGCTGTAACTGAGGTGAGTCATGTCAAATGAACGTGTTCCTTTTTGCCACTTTCAGGGGATGCAAAAGTGATGTATGTCACAGTAGAAATTGATGTCATGAGATTCATGAGCTGTGCTAGTCTAGCTGTGCTAAAATGCCTGCATGTGATGGAAAGTTCTCAATTATCCACATCCTCCCTCCTCCCAATCTTCTCTATGAAATATGAGTTAGTTACTTTGGTTAATTATTATAATTAAAATGGGTGGTTGAGACTATGCCAGGTGCAGTAATGAAAAGGAAATACGATTGTGTCTGTGCTTTTGTTTGGGGGGAAGAAAAAAAAAAAAGAGTATTGGTTTGTTTTTTTTTTCTGCACCACATGGCCCGTGGGATCTTAGTTCCCCGACCACGGACCGAACCCGGGCCCTCGGCAGCGAAGTCAAATCAAATCTGAGAAATTTTTAAACTATTGATTCATCTGAAAATAGCAATGATGAATCCATTGCATTTTGAAGTAAATAACATATATTTTGGGGAAAATAACTATGTTTCCCAAAACAAAATATTTTGAAGACAAAATGGCACTGTTTAATATTTGTGCAAGTCTTTCTAATGTCTGGCTTAATAGGCAAGAACCAAATACTCATCTCTTTCTGCATTTGTTATAATGTCACTCAGGTAGCCTCTGGAAAACTCCATCATATACTTTCGAGAGAGCATAAATGAATGAATAAGGCAATTCTAAAGTAAAATATAAATTTGTTTCAGAATATAAAAGAGGAAAATAAAAGACAAAACATGGAAAATGAATTTTACTTGCTTTGGTTTATAATACTCGAATCTTTAAAAAAAAGCTATAAAATACATTAAAATTTTGGCATGGTTCCCTCGGTTTTGATGGTTTGCTCCCTTAGTTTACTGATTAATGCCTTGGACTACAATGCAAAAGAATATTCTTTACCTTCTATGGAATCTGCCTAGCTAGCAGAGATTCTGTGTCTCACGAAAATTATTTTCAGGGTTTTATGTTAACTTGAAAAGTTCTTGATTATTTAAGAAAAGGAAAAGAACAAGGGCCCTCATTTGTGAAAAGACCTAAATTCTTTAACACTGTGTTACCTTCTACATTTATTTTCAAATGTTTTCTTGTTACTTCGATTATATAGATAACCAAGTATTGTTTCTTAGGCACCTGTGCTCCTATCTTAATCAAGTATCTAAAGATATCAAGTATCCTCTGAAAATGGTTTTGCTTTCCCACACTGAACCCTGTATTTTGGGGGAAAAAATTTTTTTAGCATATTTTTAAATGCTAAGAACGATCTTTAGATTATCTAAAACTATCTTTAAGATTTTCTAGAGGGGTCCTAGAAAAATCATAAAGATTTGTTCCCTTTGCCTTATAAAAATAGAGATGCCATACATAATTGCTGTGTTACTAATTGCATTTGTTTACTGTGTTACAGGAAGAGCCGTCAGATCAGAGGAGATGCTTAGTTTTCCCTAGGTTAAGTCAGTATGGGTAAAAATTATTAATATATTTCTGAAATTGTATATTGCATGGGAAGACCCTGGAGATTTATCAGTGCTCTCATTGTCTGTTTTTACCTGCAGGCAAAATACTGATCAAATCTCTTAGGAAACAGTTATGTAGGGTATCTCAACAGAGAATTTTACTCAATTCTGATATTATTTATAACAGTAAAAATTAACCATTAAGTCTCTAATATCTACAGGTAACTTTGTATTATTCTGATTCTTGCCTGAAGCCTCCACTATAAGCTACAGACCAGAAAGGTCAATCTCAGAGTTTCCTGGGAAAGGACTCTATATACCAGGTATTTTTAAATACTGGTACTTAAACAAATAGACTCTTAGGCAAAGGGTACTGAACTGACATTGCTTAGATAATCTGTAAACTGTGCTAGTGGATTGAGTCAGGATTTCCTTGGATTTCTGGACTCTTTTTAGTCTGCAATGCAGATGGCTTCACAAATGCAGACTGCTGAAACAAAACCCAGCAGAACAAGAATTAATGACACAGGACTGAATGAACTGAAGAGGGAAATTTTACTGTGGTTACTTGTCTGGAATACTGTTGACGTTGCTTTAATGTTCTATTTTTTGGATATATGAGGCTGCCTTTTCTCTTACTTTTTATGCTATCTCTAACTTACAATTTAGTAAATTCTGCTTTGATAAGCTAAATCCAAACATTTAAGAATGATATCCAATTCCCAGAGATCCCCCCAGAATTCAAAATCTGTTACTGAGTCCCCTTGATTTTCATGGCAGTATAATTGTTTCACAGGTTTAATTAGAATCTATGCATAGTATACCATTGGGCAGACAAGGCCTTAC